ACAATTGGATAAGAAAAGTAGGTTATGTTGTGTAATAATCTACGATAACAAACCGTGACGGAACTATTCCGTCAACGGGATTTTAGCCGTTATATATAATTGTGAATCAAATATATATAGTCGTGAATCAAATAACAGGAATATTTTTTTGAATGAAAAGCTAACGAGACAGAGTAATTGGTTGTAAATTACAGGGGATATTACAAATGCAGCAGCGTGAGAGGGTGCCCGGCCCGAAAGCATGTTGAGCGGGCCTTGGACGACCCGACAATGCTAATCGTAACATACGAAGGAGAACACAATCACGCGCTCTCCAGTACAGAAGCACCACCTGCTCTGGTTCTTGAATCATCTTGATCTATACCTATTATTATTATTATTATTTTATTAAATGGACGAAAATGTCAATTGTGATCCAACGGCCCGGGTTTCATCCCACAAGAAATGGCATAAAGTCCGATCGCGACACGTGGAAAAAGAAGATGAATATATAGTCAACGCTGGGGTGCATGCGAATCTGCCATTCTTTCTCCCAATATTTGGAAAAAAAATAAAATAAAATTTATATATATTATATAAAGAAAATTTGAGGTTCCATTTTGTTTATTTAATAAATAAATAAATGACTCTTCCTTTGTCCCTTTTCCTCTTTCAATTTCTTTTTTTTTTTTCTTTAAAGTTGTTAAGTTAATCTGGACCGTTGAAAATGTTTGATTCCGCGTGTAAAACTGAAAAGAGAGCAAATTGTGGATTTGGTGGGAATGCAATTTCTTCAAGTCCTTGAAAACTGGTTAATTTTGTGATTTTAGGTGTGATGGAGATTATTCTAATGATAAAATCCAAAAAATTGTGAATTATTTAATATTTGGTCGTTGTTGTGGTTCGGCCACCTTCATTAGGACATCCCTTTTGGATCATTTATACAATGGAAATGTATGTGGTGGTGCAAACGATCTCGACCCGGTTGAACGTCTTTTGATCTACTCACGAGCATGTGAATGACTTGCAAAACAGAGTTGGGGTTGTTCTGGCATAGAAGTTCTGATGCTTCCATCTGTAAAGAGAGATGAAGATGATGATGAATTGTATGCATACAAATATGAAGTATTTAGAGTGTGTGAAGTTGTAATGATTATATTTCATCCCTTTATATATAGATGTGTTACCTTGTTGCTTCAAATTGCACGACTGGGTTGTCCTATTGCCCCAATTATCCGATCGTACTGCCTGGGTGTCCAGTTCTATTAGTCACGTGGTCCTATTCGCGTGCTCTTCTTATCCTATTTATATATTCGTACTTGTCTATTATGTGGTCTAGTTACATTAGCCTAGATCAATAGGTAGCATAATTGTGCTACTTAGCTTGATTTCCCTTCAACTAGGCCGTCTAGCCTTCAATGAGCGAGAATGCCTTTTAGGTGTTATGTCGACCCGTTGGATTCTAGGTCGACTTTTCATCAAGTTACTTGAGAGTCTTAAATCGACTTGTTGAATTGATTTGCTTATTGGCCTTGTTTGATCCGGTGGTTTTGCGACCTCTAGTCTTCTTATTGTTTGGCCGATCGTCGATCCACTCGAACCGATCAAAATGTTCTTAGGTCTCATTAGATCTAATATACACGGGTATAGTATCTCATATCAATATGACTATAGATAAGGAATATTAATTAAACTAAGTTACAAAAATAAAGTAATTTGACCGAATGAAAATTTTTGTTCAATCAAGAACATTAGTTTTTAATATAATTTAATATATACGAACGTATTGTTTTTATATCCAATTGAAGCTATCTAAAATGACTGATATAACACAAATTACGCAAACAAAGATGATATTAGACCCAAATTAATAATATATGAATACAACTTCAATCGATATAACAACAAACACGATATAAAAAACACAAAATAAATATTTAGTTTAAGTTTAAATTTAACATTACACTTATCAACAAACAAAATATTCTCAAACAAATTCAATTATTACTGTGATCTTGCATATACACATATGAAATATATATATAACTAGTTATATAATGAGCACATAATATTTCATAAATTATATTATTAGTAGAAATATAAATATAAACTATTTAACCTACATATTAATTTTTATATTGACTGTAATAATGTAATTTTTGTAATCATGACGGATTATGACCATGACCAATTAATTAGGTAAGTCAATGTTGAAATTTTAGTAATTATAGCAATTGCGTGTGTATAAAATTTTAAAAGGTTGGTTATTCCATAAAAAATAATTAACTAATTTTCATAAAAGAAAGCTTACTTAATGAGCTGAAAAAATAATAATATTTTTTTAAAAAAAGAGTTTTATAATAAATTCTATTTTACATGACATTATTATTAATTAGTAGTAGTTATTATGAAATAAAATAAATAAAAAATATAATTACTTAATTAAAGAAAAATGTGAAAGAAAAGAATTATCATGTATTTTTACCAATAATTTTATATAGATTTGGCTACTTATTTCAACTTTTAATTAAATTTTCATCTTCACAAAGACTGACTTGTCGAAATATTTTAGTAGAAAAAGTTAGTCAATGGGGGGAATTGAGTAAAGAATTGATGAATTTTTGGATATTTTTATTGTTGCCATCTATATATATATAAAAGCAGAGCAGCTCACAAAAAAATTGTTTTCCCTCCAAAACTTCATTTAATAGATTGACTTAAATTTTGTCAAAATTTATGCATGATATATATCATTAAAACAACAAGAAAAATAATTGTTACCTATAAATAATTGTATTGGAATTTGCACTCCAATTTCTCTTTGTTAAATAAATGCTTCAACTACATCTATTACCATGAAATAAATATTGTTAACTTCTATGTATTATTTAACATTCAAACAATATCATAAATAATTATTTATTTTAGTCATAATCAGTTATTGTGAATATGCATTCCATTTTCCATTAAATATTTTTTGCTTTGTGAGTGACATAATTTTTTGTTATAAATAACATTTAAAATTATACGTAAATTTTTTTTATGAATTCTAATTTCAATTAATATCCCACTTATTATTTGTCACTCTTCCCATTTGTGAGTATGAGTTCATTTCCTTATATATTATATTTTTTTTCTTATAAAACAAATTATTAATCTCATTTAATTAACCAACAAAATAAATTTAAAGTACTTTATTTATCTAAAATCATTTTTTTTATTTGTTTGGAACATCAAACACAATATTATTTTTTTGGTTATATTGAAAATTTTCAAGGTAAAATAGAAAAAGTCATAACTAATATGATATCTACATGTAATATAATAAATAAATATTTTATATAATTTTTATTTTGGTATCTATATTGTATATATATATATATATATAGAAACTTTTAAATTTTATATGTGAATTTACGATTTTGTGTCCTTTATTTTGACACACAAATGTTTAAATGTTTATATATAATACAGTAGAACCATGTTACATTTGACACATATACTCTCTTATGATGGAATTTACGTACAAGTTAAAAAAATATGTAATTATCTCTT